CATTTCTGAATGACAGCTTGGACAGGTAAAATATTATTGGTTATTTGTTTGCTTGTTTCCCTTCAGCATTTTGAATATATTGTCCTACTCTCTCCTGGCCTCCAGGCTTTCTACTGAGAAATCTGCTGAAAGCCATATTGAAATTCCCTTAAATATAATATATTTCTATCTCTTGCTGCCTTCAGTCTTCTTCCATTTTTTAAAAAGTATTTTTATTGTGGTGTGTCTTGGTGAACTCCTCTTTGGTTTGAATTTGATTGGTGACCTCTGTGCCTTCTTTACTTGGATGTTGTCTTTTTTCCCCAGATTTGGAAACATTTCACCCATTATTTCCCTCAATATAATTTGTAGGCCCTTTTCTCTCTCTTCTCCATCAGAAACTCCTATTTGGTGAAGGTTGTTTCACTTAATGGTGTTCCATAATTTTCTTATTATTAGACTTTCTTTATTCTTTTTTCCTTTTGCTCCTCTAATTGGATAATTTTACATGTCCTATCTTTGTGCTCACTAATTCTTTCTTTTGCTTCATCAGGTTTGCTGTTGAAGTTTTCTATTGAGTTTTTCAATTTAGTTAGTGTATTTTTTTTTTATCTCTAGGGTTTCTATTTGTTTTCTGTTTTGGAGGACCAAACTTCTAATTTTGTTCATGAATTGTTTTCCAAGTTTCATTTAATTTTTTACTTGTGGCCAGGCGCGGTGGCTCATGCCTATAATCCCAGCACTTTGGGAGGCTGAGGCGGGTGGATCACGAGGTCAAGAGATCGAGACCATCCTGGTCAACAAGATGAAACACCATCTCTACTAAAAATACAAAAATTAGCTGGGCATGGTGGCGCACCCCTGTAGTCCCAGCTACTTGGGAGGCTGAGGCAGGAGAATTGCTTGAACCCAGGAGGCAGAGGTTGCGGTGAGCCAAGATCGTGCCATTGCACTCCAGCCTGGGTAACAAGAGCGAAACTCCATCTCAAAACAAAAAACAAACAAAAAAACAAAATTATAAAAAAAAAATTTCTACTTATATTTTCTTGGAGTTCCCTGAACTTTTAAAAGAGGAGAGTATTCTGAATTATTTGTCACTTATTTCATAGATCTCCATTTCTTCTGTGTCTATGTTTATAGCTTTCTTAATTTCTTTTGGTGCTATCACATTTCCCACATTTTTCATAATCCTTGTTTCCTTACACTGATTGCTATGCATTTGAGGAAATGACCACCCCATCTGGCCATTTCAGATGTTCTTTGGTGGTGTTTGACCTGTACTATTTCCTCTAGCCTGGGCTTCTGGATTGGCCAGCTGGTTCCAACCCCAAACTGGCAGACCTTGGTGACAGGTTCTATAGTTAGGCTGTGGTCACTTTCTATGCTCTTAGACTGAACAGTATTGATGGCTGTGCTCCGTGGACTAGTGAAAACACTAGTAAAAACACTGTCCTAGCTGGACTCTCCTATCAGGTGGAGCTGCTGGCTGGGCTCTGTAATCATATCTGACTGGGAAGAGTAACAAAATTATTTCTGGAATTCTAATTTTTGTTATGTTCTTACTCTTGAAATGTCCTCCAAATTTATTCTCTTTATCTCATGATTTCTTTTTGTGTTTTGTTTTGCTATTTTGGGTTTTCTTTTACTTTTACGTAACCTCCCAAACTATCAATTTAGTTCTCACCAAAGACCAATCTCTTTTTTATTTAGTCTAATGATTTATGAAAATCATGTTTCATAATTCCAGGAAGTCTTTTTATGTATGTGTGTATACTGTAAGTTTGTCACGAAAGGCCCTTACTGGTTCTTTGTAAAGGTTTGTTCTGGATTACTGTGTGCACTCTCCCATCCTGTACTCTTTCCACCATCTTCCTGCATTGCCACAATGGTGGGCATAAATGTCCTGGCTAATGACAATGCTGAAAAGAGAGGTAAATGCTAGGTTCTTCTTATTAGGCTATGTTCCAAAGTTATTGTCTGCTTTCTAACTGTGATGATGACGCATGGTTACATTTGGTTACATTGACAAATTTAAAGTCATTGATGATCACAGAGCAGGGATAATTGTTGTGAACCTCACAGGAAGGCTAAAAAAGTGTGGAGTGATCAGCCCCAGATTTGATATGCAACTCAAAGATCTAGAAAAATGGCAGAATAATTTGCTTCCATCCTGCTAGTTTAGGTTCGTTGTACTGATACCTAAGCTGGCATCATGGACCACAAAGAATCAAGATGGAAACACAAAGGAGGGAAAATCCTGGGAATCTTTTTCTAGAGGTGTAATCCATATTTACAAATAAAATGCCTCATGGGGAAAAAAAGATTCATGCTCCCTCTCGCCAAAATTTTACTTCAACGACATCCATCAGGTTTTAGCTGCTCTTCATTTCTAGTAACCAAACCTGTTTAAGTCATCAGCAGTTTACCTTTGCTCACTCACATCTGATCTCCTTCAGCTATTTGCTCAATCTGTTAGGCTCTTTCAGAGACAAACTAGCAAGTGATAGAGAGTACAAAAGTTGACTTGTTTGTTCATTTTTACAATGTGCCAGTCTTTTCTTATATGACATCTCTGCTAATGCAAAAGTAAAGGGCATCTTTTCTCTCTAGCTGCACCAGATGCAAAAAATAGCCATTTTACAATCAAAGGGACAACACATGAATCAGTCCAGTGGTTTATTTTCAACATTACTGGGTTAGGCGTGTCTCCTTCTAAGACCATAGGTCATTGAAAAGTACAGCCCTCCTTAGAGGAATTCAAAGATAATGGTTGAGCTGCTTCATGTAATACTGGGCTTTGTGCCAAAGCTTGTGAAGACACAGGCTGCCTCGTTTCCTGCTGCTCCCTCAGCTATTGCCTGGCACTAGGGAGAATGAATTCTTTTACCTGAGCTCTCCTGCTCTGGACAAATTTGTTCCTCCAACAGTATAGATGTAACTGAAGAAAGGACCAGCAGGGCAGCCAGTGGTCCTATTAAGAACTGTATCAAATCCACCAACAGTCACAGCCTCACCAATGTAATTTACCTCAGAGATCATTTGGACTAATCTAATCTCATACCCTACAGCCCTGATTCTCATGTCTGGAAGGCTTTCCCCCTCTTTCTTTTCTCACACTCTTCAGGTCTCTGTTAGAAGTGGTCTTCCAGAGAGACTTTCCCTCTCTGTTATACATAAAATAGCAGAACCCACATCCTTCTGTCCTCTTAACTTTCTTTATTTTTCTTTTTCTCGGCCATGCTAATCTTCTCTGTATCGTTCCAATTTTAGTATATGTGCTGCAGAAGCGAGCACTCTTTGTTTTTCTTTGAAGCTAACCTTATTTTTCTTGTTGTCTGTGTCCTTCATTAGAATTTAAAGAACAGGTGATTTTCTGTTTGTGACTGATATATCTCCATCACCTAAAACAGTGCCAGAAATGTTATGGTTGCTCAAAATATAACTGTTGAGTGAAGAAATAAATGACATTCTTGCACAAATTGTGGACTCATATGCATCATCTTGATTTGGAAATCTGGCTGTTTTATTATTCCATATCTAGACAGAATAAGGAACAAGAAAAAAGCCAGGATATGTGCTCGAGCTACTTTATGTCTCAAATGTTCCCATCATGGGCCATGTGAATATTTTTTTTATTTCCAAAGGGATAAAATAAGTTCATGTGCACTCCTAGCCAAAGATGGCATATTGAACACATGTATCTTTAAAAAAACAAAAAACAAACAAACAACAAAAAAAAAAACGGGGTTTCACCACGTTGGTCAGGCTGGTATTGAACTCCCAACTTCAGGTGATCTGTCCGCCTTGGCCTCCCAGAATGCTAGGATTACAGACATGAGCCACCACGCCCGGCCACATGTATCTATTTTTACTTGCTCTTTAAATCATTCTAAAATGACAGTAGACGTTTTTGAGGATATAAATTCATAAAAGGAAGGAGAATAGATACAGAGATTATAGTTATAACATTTCATAAACTAGCAATCAAATGCCTAAGAAGAAATGACTCACCAAATCAAAAGGTCAGTAACCAAGTGAAAAAAAGAAAAAATTAATAAAAATAAAAAAATAAAAAGAAATAACTCAGCAAGACTGAGAAAAACTAATTTTAAAATAGCAGAGGAAGAAGCCAATAGCTAAAGTGGTTTAAGTTATAGAATTGCCCAAATGCTCAGAAACTGGCTACCACAGATACTTGTAGAAATGGAGATAATTCAGCTATATCTTGAAAAAAGAAACTGAAGATATAGTCTTTAAAGAAATAAACAGAGAACTTTAGACTTATTTAAACAGGGAACAAGAGTTGGGGTAGGAAAAGTTGTAGTATCTACATAATCACAGCTGAGGCCACCCCTCTATCTTCCTCTCTATTTGGTAACTACCCACAGTCCCCCAGATCTTTACTCTCTGTGCAGCAGAGAGAGTCTTCTCTGAGAACTTGACTGGTCCAAAAAGAAAAATTAAGCATCCCAAACAGATCACCCTATAATTACATTCACAGTCCATATGCTATACTGTTCTACTGCTGAGTTGGGTCGGTTGGAAGTTACTTCTTTTTGGTTCTGAGTGGGAACTAGTCATGAGAAAAAAAACTTAAATGAAATTTGGGTGTGAGACTAAGCAATGGTCATTACTCTCTTAAGAATTCCACAGTTGGCCAGGTGCGGTGACTCACACCTATAATCCCAGCACTTTGGGAGGCCGAGATGGGTGGATCACCAGAAGTCAGGAGTTCAAGACTATTCTGGCCAACATGGCGACAGCCCATCTCTATTTTTATAAATAAATAAATAAATAAATAAATAAATAAATAAAATAATTCCACAGTTAAATATAATCCTGGAAAAGTACAGAGATGCCTAGTAGATTCCAGCTTATCTTTCCATAAGCATTCTAGGCTTCTTAGATTTCTCTAGAGACCCTGATTTTTCCACCCACTTCAGTTCCTGAAGAGGATTTGCTAGTGATATTTTTTTGTTTTTGTTTTTGTTTTTAATTTATTTTATTTTATTTTTATTCAGTCTCCATAGAAACTGTTAAAAATTGCCAGTGCTGACTATATTTCAAGTACTCATGGTGGGGCATTGGAAAAGTTTTCAATTAGCAATAATCGTGCCTCGGATAAACCTAATCGGCTATGATACTGCCACTAGCGACGTTTTATCTGATCTGCTAGTCTGTCACTTCCCTAGCTCCTCCCACAAATATTTAGGTATAATCCCTGTGACAAATACCTTAATATTTCTAGAGGTTCTGCTTCCCTATTGGACACTAACAGTATTCACAAGCCACATTCAGGTGCTTAGTTTTCAATCACCTTTTAAAATCCCCACATGTATTTTAATTGCCTTGACAAAGCTACTATCATAAATCTCCTTTGAGAGAAAAGAAACAATATTACAGACACACAATAAAAGACTGGATTTTATTATAAACAAATATTCAGACAACAGAGAAAACTCTTGGGAATTAAAAATCTAATAGTAAGCCCGGGTGCGGTGGCTCACGCCTGTAATCCTAGTACTTTGTGAGGCTGAGGTGGGTGGATCACCTGAGGTCAGGAGTTCAAGACCAGCCTGGCCTTCATGGAGAAATCCCATCTTAAAAAGAAAGAGAGAAAAAAAAAAAAAGAAAAGAAAAATCTAATAGTAAAATGAAATACTACTCATTCAGAAGAACTGGAATATATATGTATGCATGTGTGTGTATGGAATGTGTCTATATATATGAAGGGCATAGATATTCTTCTTTCTACAATGCACAGATAATATTTTAAAAATAATGAAAGCACTGCTTTTGTTGAGAGATCCATAATATTGATGATGTATAGCAGAGATTGAATGATACATCAATGAACACATGACATGAATGGTTATATCAAAGCCTAGTGCCTCTCTTTTAAGCAATATCTTAGCCAAAGCCTTCTGATTCCTGCAGAGTATAATGCATAAAACACACACACATACTACACCACACAAAAATTTGTGCAAATGACAGGATTTAGGTTGATATGATCATTGATACATAGATATAGATATACATAGAATATCCTCAAAAGTTAGATATTACAAAAAGCTGGTAATAGTTCTTGCAATCCCAAGGATAGGAAACAACGTGACTGGGGGGAAGCAATGTGAGGAAGACCAGCTTTTCTCTTCTTAGTTACCATTTTTTTTTTGCTTCTAAATTTGGTGCTATACGTATATTACCTATATATAATTAATAAAATATTCTCCTCCCCCCAAAAACAAGGAATAACTTTAGACTTCTCAATGGCCAATGGAAGATAGAAGACCCTGAAATAATGCCTTTAAAAATCTAAAGAAAAAGTATTACAACCAAGAATTCCATATATAGTTATACAACTAGGCATCAGATAATTAGATATTTTTAGGAAAAATGGCCTGAAAATATACTTCCTGGTACAATTTCTCAGAAAATTACTAGAAAATATGTTTCAACAATTGAATAGATAAACCTAGAAAAACAAAGATATAGGATATGGGAAATGGAAAATATAAGCCATGAGAAAGACAAAGGGAATCCTCAGGTGAAGGGTGATCCTGGATAAACACTGTAAGCCAGGTTAGCAGATATTCAAAGTAGGTTACTCTAAAATACAAAAAATGCCAGGCATGGTGGCTCATGCCTGTAATCCCAGGAGTTTGGGAGGCCGAGGCGGAAGGATCACAAGATCCAGCCTGGCCAGCATGGTGAAACCCTGTCTCTACTAAATATACAATAAATTAGCAGGGCACAATGGCACACATCTGTAGTCCCAGCTACTCGGGAGGCTGAGGCAGAAGAACTGCTTGAACCCAGCAGGTGGAGGTTGCATTGAGCCAAGATCACGACACTGCACTCTAGCATGGGTGACAGAGCGAGATTCCATCTCAAAAAAAAAAAAAAAAAAAGTTAGCAGGGCATGATAGTGTACGCCTGCAATCCCAGCTACTTGGGAGCTCACTTGCAGTGAGCTGAGATTGTGTCATTACACTCCAGCCTGGGTGACTGAGCAAGATTCCATCTTGGGGAAAAAAAAAGAAAAAAGAAGGTTTTAATATTTCACTATATGGTTTAGCTCTTATTTTTATTTAAATGATCAAAGTAATATAAACAATTAATACTTGATCTAACAAAGATTAGACTCACTTTTAATAACCCAAACCCTACAACATGATAGACCAGATCATAGGATTTCTCCTGTGGAGAAAAACGATACCCTATTTATAACAGGTAGGGTAAGTCTTGTAGATCTATTGAGAAAAGGAGAATACAATATACAGAAAATAAAAGTTCTTCCTTTCTAGTGGGAGGGGTAGAGGGAGGAAGATAGAAGAAAGAAAAGGGAGAAAGGACGTGTGGGAAGTATAACCCGTGGATCCTAATATACCTTCGCCAGTCTTCTTTCCAAAGAACACAGGTATACTGGATAAACTCCAAATGCAGGAGATCTGGCCCTACTCTATTTTTGGGAATTTGGAAAGAGACTACCTCTTGGCTGGGCGCGGTGGCTCAAGCCTGTAATCCCAGCACTTTGGGAGGTCGAGGCGGGTGGATCACGAGGTCAAGAGATCGAGACCATCCTGGTCAACATGGTGAAACCCCGTCTCTACAAAAATACAAAAAATTAGCTGGGCATGGTGGCGCGTGCCTGTAATCCCAGCTACTCAGGAGGCTGAGGCAGGAGAATTGCCTGAACCCAGGAGGCGGAGGTTGCGGTGAGCCGAGATCGCGCCATTGCACTCCAGTCTGGGTAACAAGTGCGAAACTCCGTCTCAAAAAAAAAAAAAAAAAAAAAAAAAGAGACTACCTCTTAAAACTGGAGACAGAAGCATGCCAGGTAAATTTGATAGCAACTCTTGAGTTCTATCTGAGAGCTTGTCAGAAGTAGCTTCTGTAATTAGGATAAGAGTTCTTGGAGCTGGGGTTTGAAGGGCAGAACATTCTAACGAGTTAAGGAGTTCAGACCATACTAAGGGGTGCCAAGGTGGAACCAAACCAATGAAAAGAGAACACAAAGTCCTCACTGAGCTCAGAATAAAGAGAACACAAGTTCATTGCAATCATTGTCAACAATAAATATCATCAATGGACACAGCTCAGAAATGAAATAAACCAGCCAGTGCACTCCTCCATCCACAAGGACCAGCCTGGGGTCAAAGAGACCAATTTCCCTTAATTATCTTAGTAACCCCAACTAATAACTTCAACACACTGCAAAAGATGCTACTAGTGGTCCAGTGACCCCACTATTCTTCCAAAAGATGCTACTTGGGGAGGAACCCAGAAGGGAAGCAGAATCCCAAAAGAATATGAGTAATACAGGATAAATGAAGTTACCTAAAGAGAAAAATTGAATATTTGGATCCTACTGCTTGATGCTGATTTGGGCTGTAATTGGTTTCTAATTTTTTTCTGACTACCTAGAGACACAAAGAAGCACATTTCAGTTGTTGCAGTCAATTGGTAACCTCACAAAAAAACAGAAGTTTAACTATAGAAGTGACAATTTTATTCATGAGAAGACTGACACACAGAGGGCTTAAATGTCTTTGCAAGGTTAAAGCGAAAATAGAATGATAATTCCAACGACAATTGACCTTAGTAGAAAGCAGGCCCTCTTTGCCAAATATGAGCACCTTGATCCCTCAGCAAAGGTTCTTCTCCCTGTACCTTCACTCTCCAGCCACTACCTTTCTTTTCCTGCCCCAACTTCTAGTTAATGATACAGCTCTTCATTCTGCTCATGACCATGTGTCTGATGTTTATTATAGATACGATTAGCCTAAAGTTACAGATACGAAAACTTATAAGTTACTTTACATCAGGCCATCTATAAAAGCAAATCAAAGAGGAATTCACAGTCACTTGTAGACTCTGAACAGATGTCTTTGGCAAGAATAGAATGTAGAAATGAGAAAATTCCAAACTATAATGACACTTGGACAATTCTGAGAACACTGATGCAGCTTCCCCATTTTTAATTTTACAATTACAGTTAAACTGGTGAAAATACGAGTCAAGAATATATCAGCTGAGAAGAGAATATTTTCAGCAAGAATGACCACTCAGATTTTTGACGTTAGAATCTATGATGGTTAAAATAGAAAGGTAGCTATTCAAGATGTGAAAGGATGCAGAGTGGGAGTCATTCTACACCACCCATCTTTTGACCTCCTATCACAATTTGTGGTTCTCCTGGGTATCAAAGACCTAATTATTTTAATCATTACCCTTTCTGTGTGTTTTAAAATAATTAGTTTCCTATCCAGTCTAAGCTCTGAAGAAACCTGTGGAGTCTTGTCATGATATTTTGTAATTTATACCTTTCCTTTAGTTATATTCTTTCCTGGTATTCTCACAATATTTCAAGTGATAGACGATACAGATGAGAAACTGTGGTCCCAAGAATTAAAGAAATTTCTGTAAGGCCGATTACTGGAACATGAAGAGCTGGGATTCCAAACCCAGTCTTGCAACTGTAAATCCCTTTCCACTCTAATTCCTTCCTGAATGTATCTGATTTACAGCAGGGCAATGCTCCCAAACTTCAGCTACTCATAGGAAATTACTCATACTTTATCATCAAAAAGAGTTTGTCAAGAATTAGCGTCAAAAATTCTTAATCGGGTGAACCGTATTGCTCTTCTAAATTTGACTCTATTTCAAATTATGCATAGAAAGAGATTCTTTGGCCTGCAGACCTGAGATTCTGAAATTTTTGTGGTGCCTGACAGACCTTTTTGATCCATCATATTTAGTCACATCAATCATATCAACTCAAAGAACACATTGTAGGGAAAATAATGTAACCTGATTGATGTGAACAGATGTGACATGGGACAATTAAGTTTCAGTTTAAGGACCCAAGAAGAAAAAACACCTGATACTCTATAAGGTTCACTAAACAAAGACCCCATTGCTAACAGTATAAATAGGATTTGTAGGCTTTGTTTTCCCAAGTGGAAGAGAGAAGAAATACAATATATGTTAATAGTATAATGTGTGTTTATCTACTGTGCATGGGCAGAAAATCTGCCCTGATTGCCTGAAATCTAATACTTCCCATTGCATTCTAGAGCCAAGTCTAACCTAGCAATGCTAATCCACAGGGAAAATAATACTGTATTTTAGGAAATAAATTATATGTGGATGAA